CTGTACATACACGCACACACACACACACCGCACAGAGACACACACACACACATAGAGAGAGAGAGAGAGAGAGAGAGAGAGAGAGAGAGACAGACACGCAGACACTAGCTGCATAGCCGGGCCTGCTCGGTTACACCATTCGGTATTGGAACAGCAAAACGGATCAGCCATCCTGAGTGGTGAGAGGGGGGGCTTGAAGGCTCAGTTTGAATTTGCCTTGCAGGGCTTAGCCCTAAGAACAACCCGAAACCCAAGGGAAAAACCCTACAACCACAACCTAAGCCCCAAACCTGGTCAAGCCTTCCCTGAAGCTGGGCCCCGCTCCGATGAGAAGGCAGGGTGCAAGAGTTCGCACGTCTGCTCCCTGACCGAAGCGAGAGCCACTTTTTCTACAGGCAAGCAGTGTCGGCTGTTCTACCTGAGCTTTCCGAAGCTCCTATGTCCTATATGCATTCAGAAAGCATAGCCTGCCATTTCGGACCGCGGCGGTGCTCCAAATAGTGCAGGAAGCACAGCAGCACAACCTTGCCAGCGATACGACTGCCGAGCAAAGCTGCTCCTCGACATGAGCAGTGCCTCAAAGCCAGCTGTAGCAATGGCCAGGCGAATCTTGCAGCCAGCTCTCAGCTGCCCATGGGTGCCTCGATGGAGGCAGGAGTTCTAAGGGATGCCTGGTGGAAACGGACTGAGGTTCGGGACTGAGCACAAGCCCGGTCCTCCCCAACACAGAGAGACAAACAAGTACCTAACAGGGAGCAAAGGGATACCCAAGGCCAGGGTCAGTGAAGGACTACTGACATCGAGATCGTGCTGTGAGCACTCTGAGCAGCTCTGGGAGAGGCACAGCTAGAAGCAGCAGCAGCTGTTGCATGTGAGCTTTGCTCGGGCCTTGCCGCGGCGGTTTGACATTATCCAAATTCCAAGTGTCTCGGCTCCATCGCCCCATTCAACTTTAGCCAGCGCCACGTCGAAAGAGCCGCATTCTCGTGCACCCGTCTCACCTTCAGAACTGGAGCATGGAATTCGACACTTCCATGAGCGCACCTCGGTTTTCATCGCAGCTTCTGGCCTTCGAGGGCATGCACTGACAGTGGCAATGGGATCTGCTCCAAGACATACTTGGGGGTGGGAGGAGCTGTTGGAATTCAAAAGAGCGCCGCTTGAACATCGCTTCGATCTGGCACTGCTTGGGTTCTGGACTTGATGTTTGGTGGGTGTTACATATGTCCTCTACTTCAATGTGTCTCCGTTCGAGCCCGGATGCAGCTGTTGCGAAGAGATTGGAACTGCAGAAACACCCGCAACACAGAAACAGAACGCGAGGCATACGGGGAGGGCGCACGTTCCTTCAGGACCTTCAAGGGGCCGCTCATCCACTTTTCCATGATACAAGTAGCCTGGCAGTCGAATCGAGGATAGCTTGATTCACGGTTTAGGGTTTAGGGTTGATTTCGACTACTAGCAGCTATTGCATAGGTGCCGCCAGGTTGCCAAACAAGATCTTGGCAACTTCCAACGGGATCTCGAAGAGGGACACCTCTATTTCGATGTCAAATTGCTGCATAAGTCTTCATTTGTGATCACGCATTGTGGCGCTAGCAAGTCACGGATGTGTCAAGGAGGGGATTTCCGTCGCCAGACGATGCCCGACATGTATTACATCGACATGAAGGGCGTATGTGTATAGAATACTGTGTATATACGTACATACATAGATACATACATGCATACATACATACATACTTACATACATTGACATACATATATTCATAATTATACATACATTTACATATGTTATATGTCTATTATATACCTGTATCTATCTATCTATCTATATAGATAGATAGATAGATAGATAGTGTGAGAGAGAGAGAGATTGTCACATTATATTGTATATTACGGGTCTTCGGTGCCTCTGCTCCACCTTCTTGGCTTTCCCGAAAGCCACTCTCCCCCTGTCACATCCGACATTGAGATAGGAAAACCTGTGCAGATACCAGCCGCCTGAAACATGGCCCGGAAATAGTCGCTGCGGGCCATTAGGATGTTGCGATGAAGGAAGAGCGAGCCGCCATCACAGCGCAAAGTCACATCAGAAAAGCTTTCGGCACCATTTTCCTGCCAAGGAGGCAGCTTGCAGTTTGGATGAACACATCGCCGTGGGATGAAAAACAAGCCAGGCTTTCGAAAAGCCACGTCATGGATTCGTCTGCGACCTGACTGAAACAGCTCCGAAACGGAAAGCTACTACTGCCAACACCAGCTACAGCACAGGGCACAGAACTAAAACTAGAAGAACGACAGCGAGGTTCATGGGAGGCGTGCCCTTGAGATGTCCGTTTCGGTACCACCTTGCGACTCTTGCGGAAGCTCCAGGGCATCACGGACGCCCAGCATCCGTAGAAGCGCAACCTGCAAGTTTCAGCTGCGAGTCACACAACCAACTTCAGCTCGTTTGATTCGTGAGCAGCCAACATGCTCGGACAGGTAGGCGGGCAAAGCAAACCTGGGACATGGCGTCACAAGCATGGCCCCATTTTTCGACAAGCAGTGCAGTTTGGGCCGCTGGCATTGGAGGTCGATGTTCCTTCAACACTAGCGAGATGCGCCAGGGTGCTACCAAGGTGTGCCTGCCCCGCCAGTTCAGATTCTCGCAACTGTATGGAAACATACAATCGCGGCAAAGCACTTGCCACCCCCCCTCTTCAAGACTGGCCAGCCAGACGGACCGGCCACACCGCTTTCCAAAGGCACTGCCAGGAACTTGACTTTGCGAAGCTGCGAGCAGATTCGCGCCTCAAGAGTTCTAAGGTGCAGTACCTCGTTGCGTCATTTGGGGGTTTTGTTGCTGTCGTCTCCAGCTGGGGCATCTGCTCTTCTCTGGGAGTGGGCCATGATGGTCTCGGGTGATCGCAGCTCAAGCTCTTCACCTTCATCCAGCGCCATGATGTCCTGTCCCACTCAAGGCAAATCCAGGTCTACTTGGGTAGTTCTCTAAATTAGGGTCCCTTTTTGGGGAGTCTTTCTTGGGGAGTCCTTTTTTTGTAAGGGTGCCGTAACTATACTGGGGACCCAAAACGGGACCCTAATTTCGAGAACTACCCGCTTGCAGGCTTCTCAGAGAGGCCTCTAGGTTCTGGAACGCGGAGGAATGTGCCAAGAACTGGCAGATCTGGCCAACCACCTCAAACCCCAGACATTGCGAGGCCAAAAAACACGGCTCCTGCTAACTACTGAGTTAGGAGTATGTAGGCATGGAGTTTTCGGAGAAGTCAAGGCACCTTCTCTTTGAGCTCCTCCCACAGATGAGGTGGAACAGCTCCATCAGCAAGAGCACTGATGGAGTGCGCATGAGAAAGGACATCCTGCGGCGAATTTGGATGATCTTCAGCGCTTCTTGCACAAGCTGCAATAGCATCAAATATAAATTCCTCCAGCATCGGACGGCGGTATCCCTCGAATTCGGGAAATCCCCTCGGAGAGAGTGGCAAACTGGTCCAGCACAGGTAGGGGTCCTGAACCAATGCTTCGCACTCTGACTTCCAACTCTCTCCAACAGAGCAAAGATCAGGCTGCAGTCCGTCACGCTGACGCGAGACCTCGCATTCCAGGATAGCAAGATGCCGGAAAGCAGAACTGCGGTTGGTGATAGAAATCCTGCATTACCTTAAAGACCTTAAACTCAACTATGGGAATTATGTTCTATTCCTTACTTATTATGGGTAGTAATGCAGGATTTCTATCATCCACGGGAACCCAGTGGGAACCTAAGCTTCGGACACCAAGGACGAGAGCTTCAGTAGCTGCTCCGTGGACCGCGTTGCCCGGTAGGGCCGCAGTTCAAAGAGGCTCCCCGGCCTGGAACCGCGGCTTCGAGGCTGGAATTGAAAACTTGGTTAGGTGGTTAGGGTTCCGGGTTTAGGGGTTTAGGGTTCAGGGTTTAGGGGTTTAGCGGTTTTAGGGGTTTAGGGGTTCAGGGTTTAGGGGTTTAGCGGTTTAGGTCTCACTAGGCTTTAGGGCTTAGGGTTTGGGGAAGAGGGCTGTGGATGGCAGTCGGATGCAGATCTCCGGTCTTATCAAGTCGAGTTTGCGACGGAATGTCATCTTTGTCCAACAGTACCGGGCCACTCCGGACTCTCTCCGAGTCGGCATCACTGGGGGATTTACGGTTCATCTCCTGGTCTGTGCACGGTCCTGCTAGGAATTCTGATAAAGTATCTCAGACGATACCGTGGAATCTCCTTCGATATGATTCTGGACATTGCGGGCCGTGCGTCTAAAACACTCTGTCGTATTCAACGACCCGCCATGGAGCATAGTCCCAGAAAGACACGCCACTGAAGGACCCGGGATTAACCTCAAGCAACAGCCTTGCATCACTAACACTCGAACACCGACCTCACCGAACGACACACGGAACAATAGAAAGAAGAACAAGCATCTTTGACACTACAGGAAGACCTGACGGAAACATGGACGCGCTCTATGAGCACCGACGACCCAACCAATGGCCGAGGAACTGCTGCACGTAGTACCCAGTAGTATGCGGACACATTAATGAACACTCACGGAGACATCGACCACGCCAAAAAACATTGAAGGTTTGGGACACGGGTTGACGCCGAAAAAGAAGAACGCCGCCCGCGCAGCCCCTGATGCTAATGCTAATCTTGGGCAAAGGAATCGAAAGCAGGTGGTTATTCATCAAGAATCAACCCAGCCCTGCAAGCCCCACTAAAAGGCGGATATTTCAGAGGAGCAGCTGCTCTCCACCGTCTGCTTCTGCTGATATGTCCACGAACTCCTGCTCCAGGACCATGTCTCGATGTGGGCCTCCGGCCAGCACTTACATGGGACTTTCCGCAAATTTGGGGTACCTTCTTTTGGGGTCCTTATGATAAGGATCCTACTATTTTGGGTACTATATTAGGGTACACTTTGGGGTCCTTATAAAAAGGATCCTACTATTTAGGGTACTATTTTAGGGTCCCCTCTTTTCGGAAACCCCCCCACAGAGGCCCCCCCTTACTCTGCTAGCATCTTTCACGCTCGGGGCCCAGCCGGGAAAGGAGCTCCACGACTCCACGATCTTCTGCATGAGACTTCGCTGCACTTCTCCATATCTCTGGCCTATGTTTGGGTTTAGGGTTTTGGGTTTAGGGTTGAGTCTTTCATGCACATCAGAAGAGGTGCACGAAAATTAGGGACCCAGGGGGCAGGGAAGCTTTCACCGACGGACTTGCACGGTCATGGTAGAGCGCTCTACAGGTGGGTGGAACCCGCAGATGCCATGTGCGAGGCCTGGCAAGCGCTTGTGCTGTTCACGAAGGGCCTGCACTGAAAGAATCGTGACGGAGCCAATCAAGGATCGCTTTCAGATGAGTGCTACTCAATCAAGCTGGACATTGAACTAAAACAGGAAGGTTCGAACAGCAGGATACTGCCAACCGTGCCTGGCACAGGTATCCCAAGCAACGTCCGTCGCTATTGCTCTTTCTCATGCCCAGGCGTCTGAGATGACTGAGAACCTGATGTCATCAGACTGCTCCCTGCAAGAGACGCCTCTGGACACTTAAGGCCGGCACTGTTGAAGACAGAGCTTTGGAGGGAAAGTGGAACTGATGATGGCTTCCCAGCTTGGGCCAGGCATCTCCTCGTGCACCAAACACTTCCTGGATCAGAAAGTCTTGTGGGTCCAAGATGGTGCACCTGGGCAGCGCGCATCTGTGGCCCGTAGAAAGCGAACGCAAGAGCTCTGAGGCCCCTTCGGTGGCTTCATGAGCCTGCCCCGTACTTCTGCTGGGACGAGGTATGGCCTTCGATCGAAGAGGAGCCCCAGAAGTAAGACCCACCAACCTATATCTATATAACTCTATGTATCTAGATAGATAGATTGATTGATAGATAGATAGACTATAATTTCTATATGAATATATACATCCACATATGTATGTATATATATATATGTATATGTATATATACATATATATATATACATACACATTATATTTGACCTGATTTTCCTATTCCTATGACATATGTCAGCTCCAGAGGGCTTCGGGAAGCAAAGGCTGGTGCTCAGAGTTGGCTTCCTCGAGGTTCTCCATGAGCGGCAGCAGCCTTTCCAAGAAGTGCACCTGACCATGCTGTTTGAGGTCCGACGGTCTACAGTGGACTTTTATGCACCATACCGAACTCCAAAACCCGAAACCCTACACCCTAAACCCTGAACCCTGAACCCTAAAGCCTGATCATCATCCACCATGTCTGCAAGATGTGGGAGCACTTGCTGGTGCAGCCAGGTCTTGGCATCGAAGTACTTGCGCTGCTGAAGCAGCGGCTCCTTGACCTGCACAGGAGGCAAAAACAACAAAAAGAAAACCAAGCAATAAGAACGTTCCCAACAAAAACAATACTCATCTAAATCCGATTGTAAACCCAAGGCCCTAAAGTCTAGGACATCATAAACCCTATTATAAACTTATAAATTATAAACCCTAAACCCCTACATCATACTAACAGCAGTGTGTGCCAACAGTGTGTGCTGCTGAAGCAGCGGCTCCTTGCCCTGCACAGGAGGCCCAAACAACAAAAAGAAAATCAAGCAATAAGAACGTTCCCAACAAAAACAATACTCATCTAAATCCGATTGTAAAACCAAAGCCCTAAAGTCTAGGACATCATAAACCCTACTATAAACTTATAAACCCTAAACCCCTACATCATACTAACAGCAGTGTGTGCCAACAGTGTGTGCCTCGAGCAGGGCCAGAGCTGCGGCGACCTCCGTTGGCGTCTTCGGGGAGGCGAGGAAGATGAAGGTGGACTCCAAGTCCAGCCTCAAGCTGGTTTAGGGAGGGTTTAGGGTTTAGTGTTTTGGGGTTTCGGGTTTTGGGGTTTAGGGTTTATAGGGTTTAGGGTTTAGGGCCTCAAGTTGGGGGTTTAGGGATTTTAAGGTTAAGGGTTTTTGGGGGTGTAGGTTAGGGTTTTGGGGCACTTAGGATTCAGAGTTCAGGGGTTTTTAGGGCTCAGGATGTCAGAGCTTTGGGTTTGGTGTCCTTCAAGCTTGGGCTTTGTAGTGATGCATGGGTTTTAGGGGTTTAGGGATGGATTTATGGGTTTCTGGCATAGGGCTCAGGGAGATTATCTGTTCAGGGTACATAATTGGGTCTAGCATTTAGGTGTCTAAGCTGAGCATCTTAAGGAGGGTTTCAAGAACCGCTCACCCCCTGAACCCTAAACCCCTAAACCTCTAAACCTCTAAACCCTAACCCCTGTTTAGGGTATGTGACCAGCGCCTCACCGGCGGGGCGTGGAGCTGCAACGGTTCGCCTTCCACAACGGCCAAGTGCACCAGAGAGCGGAAGGCCTGCAAGGTTTAGGGGATCTAGGGATGAAGCTTCAGTAGGCTAAAAATTGGGTTTTCACACTTTTTGATGGACTTGTGTCCTTGATTTGGGGTTCAACCGGTTGAGGGCTTACAAGGGGCACAGCTTTTCGAGTTCAGGGCTGACGAGGCTTAGGGTCTGCCTTTAGCGTTATTTGGGGTTCAAGGAAGGGCTCGGTTTTGTATGGGCCCTAAACCCTAAACCCGCTTGGCATTGGGGAAGGGCGCGCCTGGGCCTGCTCCTCCTCACGATTTTCGGATTCCGCGAGGAAGATCGGAAGCCGACAAACCTCGGCGGGAGGGGCGATTTGAGACACTGTGAGGCCGTAAGGGGCGACATCTTTGCAAGGCCTCCCTTACCCAGAGAACCCAATACCCCTTAATTAAGGAAGATACCTTAAATCCTAATATTGAGGCCCCTATAGTTTAAGGTATATTCCTTAATTAAGGGGTATTGGGATCTCTGGGTAGCCTTAGGCGGCTGCGACGCTTGCTCTGTTCTCAACTGTCGTCCTCGCATCCGACGGAGCGATCGGATCGCACAGGGCGGTGCATAATTCTGAGCCTTGCAGAGAGGCGTTGGGTTGCGGGTTGAAGCGAGCAGTGTCTCAAGCTGAGGCTCCCACATAGGTAGTGCCGTTGCTGAGGTCGCAGGCGTTGACACCGAATACTCAAAGAACCCAGCTGCTCCAAAGCCGATGCCCAGGCAGCAAGCACCGTCAGCAAGCTGCCTGGCATGGCATGTAAGTGCCCGGACTGATTGCCTGAACTCATCTTGCCTCGTCCGAATGGCAGGAGGACCCCGTGCTGCTGGAGGAATTGAAGGACTCCCGGAGTCCTAAAGTCACACTTGAAGTCCGCATATGTCCGCCACGGTGCCTGTAGAATGGCATTCGGCTCTCGGGGACAGACACGGCCGGGTGGCTGGGATTGACCTGGGCGGATTGGCACAGGCATACCGGCTCCCGTCCTTTCAGGCAAGTTGGCAAGGCCCGTGCAAACCTGTCTGGCACAAGCACCCTGGCCACTTCGGCTAGATCTGCTCCTTCCTCACATCTCCACAGGTCTTGTGTTTGCGTGTGGAATTGCGTGCGACCGGGATGTCCTCCGGTGGCAGAAGTAATGGTTCTTCCTTGCTCAGCGGAAGCATCATGAGCTTGCTTGCAGCGGACCTCCAGCAGTGACAGACTCCGACTACACTATAGTGTACGATAGTATACCTATAGTCTCCATTGTAGTTCCTAAAAGGTAGCCCCCCCAAAAGGAACTACAATGGAGACTATAGGCACTTTCATGCAAGGCTCATACCCTGCAGGCTGAGGGCAGCACGGACCTGCCGCTTCTTGTGGGTCCCATGCTGGAAGCAACCAGCATCGATCAAAAGCGGTCAGAAAGTCCTCACCCAGTCCATCCTGAGCGCCAAAGCAAGCGAAATGCTCTAGCACACTTCAGAAAACTACCGCGCGTTATAGTACGGTATCTGTAGGATACTGATGTATCTTATGGTATGTACAGTGCAGTATATTGGTGTGTATTGTTGTACGACGTACTCAATCTTCCCCAGCACGACTGAGACACAGGCCAGCTCGGCAAACGCCCAAAACGCACGCAGCGTCGACTGGGCCGTGTTCTCGTCGCCGAAGACTTTGAGGGACCTTCGCTAGATTTCGCTAGTAGGGTATATCATGTTATACTATAGTACATTGTAGCCTAGTGCTGGAGTATTTTATTGTACTATAGTGTGTCTATACATATATATATATGTATACATATACATAAATACATACATACATACATACATACATACATACATTAGTTATAGTATGTATATATATATATACTATAGTATATACTATAGTATATACTATAGTATATACTATAGTATATACTATAGTATATACTATAGTATATATTGTAGCCTAGCAGATTGTGGTAGGCCCATCTACTCCTCGGCCCGCGGCTCAGCTGCGACTCGCCGGAATGACTCTGATCTCAGGGGACCTGCGGAAGCCCGGACTACGCGGTCCGAAGGGGGGGTTTGGGTTTTAGGGGTGTAGGGGTCTAGGGGGTTTAGGGGTTTAGGGGTTTGGGGGTTTAGGGTTTTAGGGGTTTAGCGGTGTAGGGGTTTAGGGTTAAGGGGTTTAGGGTTTAGGGGTTTCGGGTTTGGGGTTTAGGGTTTAGGGGGTTTCAACATCGTTTTAGGCTCATGGCCTCCGAGCCGGTCTTCGATTGCCGCTTGCAGTGAGGAGTATTCCAGAGGTGGGGCTCGGATCGCCGGAAAGCCGGCGATTAGAGCCGTGGCCAATTGCTCCGAAGTTCTCACATGTTCAATGCCTAACCCGGGCGCACTGGCACCCAATCTTGCAATTCCGTCTTCGCCAACACCCGACAAGTTCAACGTCAGAGCTGGCACGAGCTGCTGCAAGACCTGCTGGGCCAGTGCGCTGGAACCGGACGCCGATCCGCCAGTGGGAAAGGCATAGTACAGCGGCGCGCCGGTGCTGCTGAAGGATGCTACCTTCCCGCTGCACAGAGGCGCCAGCTTCAAGCCTTGAAGTGCTGACACCACATCTGCCGGAAGCTCTTCACTAAGGACGTAGCCCAAGAGTTCTATAGCGGTCAGGGCATCCAAGTTGGAGCGAGTGTCTTCGCGCAGGCACGACAGTACAAAGGCGGGGTTCACTTCCGCCTGTCTGGATGAATTTGCAGACTTGAACTCTTCGGAAACGCTGCGAGCCACTTCGCAGAATTTGAATCCTTTCCCACTGCTAAGGTATTCGTGAACTGCTTGATGCTGCTTGCCTCGGCCCTCAACTAGTGTCAGGGGCTGCACAGAAGCCGTAAACGACAACAGCTTCACCGAGGGCTTGGTGTCAGCCTCGTGAAAAATCTGAGCCGCGAAGGAACGGGCGCTCTCCACAAGTTCGGAAGCCGTGGATGTGGGACTGTGTCTCGCAAATACCAAAGGCGGGAACAACGCGGCACTGGAAAGCTCCTTGTAGATGGACGGAAGGTTCAGAAGCTTTCGCAAACTGTGCGGCAGTTGGCTCTTGCAAGGCATCAAAGCGCAAATCCCTTCCTTGCCCACGACCCAGTGTGCAGCATCTGCACTCGGGCTTTGGCTCCGCACGGCCTGTATGGCTCCAGCCTGCTCCCTTACCAGCGTACAGATGAGAGGCTCCACGATGTGCCGGAGGAGCATGCTGTTCCAGTCGGATGCAAACCCAGAGCCAGCAGCCAAATCCAAGCGACCCGGCGCCGTGGGATCTGTGAGGCAGAAGTTGGCGTTGATCAAAAAGGGAAGGGAGCTTTTAACAGGAAGCGGAAGGAAGCAACAGATCCTGGGTCCGTGGAGCTCCCTGGAGAGGCAGACAGCAAGGCCTGCAAAGGGCACGTAGCCGAGTCCCTCAGCCTCAGACTCCCCCAAAAGGGATTTCCAAGGATCATGCTCGGGATTGTCATGCTGAAGGAATAGACGCCAGGCTTCCAAAACCTCTGTCTGTTCCTTCCCAGATTGCAGATCCGTCGGAGAAATCCAGCGCACCGAGACGACCACGTTGAAACTCACATAGGGCCTCGTCTCTGACTCCGCGGGCTGCTGGACACCCAAGCGGCTGAGGAGGTCGGAGATGAAGGACTGCTTCTCCTTGCTCTTCTGAAGTGACCGTGATGAGAAAACCCGCCGGTATTCCAGCGCACGCTCATCCGTGCAAACTTCAGCTTGTCTCTGGCCGGCCAGGCCCAAAGAAGCTGGTACACTCGAGGGCATGATGCGAACCTGCAGCAGCGGCGTCGGAACAGCATCTGGACCAGCATCGGGAGCGATCCAGCAGAAGTTGGCCTGCTTCACATGTTGGAGGAACACTAGACACTCGGCGGCCGCTTCCTTGAAGGCGTGAAGGTACACTGTTGCTTCTTCGGCTGACACGATGGTCTTGCTGATCTCACTCAGCTTGGACGACTCTGGCGTGCGAAAGGGAAGGCGTATCAGGGTACCCTCGTAGGGCGTGGACGAGGCCAAGTCACAGCCGAAGAGGCCGTGATACGGTTCGAACTGATCGCGGAACTTGTCCAGCACGTCAATCTTCAGGAAACGCAGCTTGATCCCAGGCTTGGCAGGTGATGCACCCATGCCACGCAGATGATGGACGTGTGGATCAAGGAACAACACAATGTCATCGCTTAGAATGCTGGGCAAGTCCGTCATGCTGTAAACGGAATTGAAACCCAGGCCAAATCTGCCAATCTGTGTCTTGCGGCTTTGCGACTTGCTTTTCTGCATCGAACCGAGTTGCGTGATGTTCTCAAAGTCCTGTGGAGGGCTGCCCAAAACCCGCGCAACCTTAAGGCACCCCTTACAGAAACTGTTATGGCACTGCACCCCTTACAAAAAAGACTTCAAGGGGACTGCTGAACCCCCGAACCCAAATCTCCTGTGGAGAGAACTTGGCATTGTTGTGAGCCCACAAGCATGGGCCCTGCCACCGTGCCATCTCTGGTGACATGAGCGACTGTCCACCAAAGCTCCGCCAGTCCCACACAAAGTTGATCTCCGTAGCTGTCGCATCATCTGCATTCTGCAGAAGTGCCTTGAAGAAGCCCAAATCCTGGGCGGAGGCTTGGTCAAGCATGTCCCGGATCAGGGAGCGCAAGCGGGAAGTGAGGGGTTCCTGCTGTCCGGCTGCCTCAAACCATTCCGGGTCCCCCCTTTCTCCTTCATCGGCTGCAGCCAATGCCTCTGCTGCGACCTGGGTGCTGAGACCCTGCACCTGAAGAGTCTGAGCAACCTCGTTGGAGATGCTTTGATGCACCCAGTCTAGCCCACTACTCGTCACGGCTCTGCTCCTCTTCTGCTGCTCTTCTTCTGACAGCCATCGCATGTTATTGAAGACACAACGCTGTGAAGGCCGCAGAGTGCCCTGATTTGTTGGCACCAGGATGGTATCGTGAACCGCTTCCCCATGACCACGAATGCGCTCCGACAGAGCCATTGCCAGCCGAACTGCCGTCTCTGTTTCAGCCGTCCGAAGCTGCTTGTTCCGCTTCTCTGTGGCATCTGCCATCCGCCGAAGAGCACGGACCAAGTCGACCGCTTTGAAATTCTGCTTGATCGACTTGCAGAGCTGAGGCGCAGTACCTTGCAACTCCTTCGGAACCTGATGCAAGCCGGCGAGGCCAAAGTCCTGGCTTCTAGACAGATCCTCCATGAGCACAAAAGTGCCAGCTACGAAGAGATCGTTGATTCCAGAACTACTGCCACCTCCTTTGTCAATGCCGTCGTCTGCTCCATCTGCCTGTTTCTCTTGGAGCAGGGGATACACATGCTGGTAGAGGCAGTTCGCGACCCAAGCAGAGGCACCATCTTCTTGAACATCGGAAGAACGAGAGGACCACCACAGGCGGATAGCACTCAGTTGTGACCATGCGCAGCTGATTCGCTGGCCTTGGGGCACCTGGCTTGGCATTCCCAGAAGCATGAGCAAGCTGGCCTCTGTACTGGACCTGCGTTCACCAGGCAACATAAGTTGTGTGTCCAAGTCGAGCACCGGGACAGCAGCCCCACAGAGCCAGAAGTCTTTCATCAGCGCCATCTCGGAAGGCCGCCAAAATTTCTGGGAGTTTCCTATCCAAGGGACAGCCTGGAGCCACTCTCTCGGTGCTCGGGCTGCTGGCAGCCATCTGCAAACGCGGAGCTTGCATTTCAGAGTCTCCACATCTCTTTCGCTCCAGTCCTCTGCCTTCTCCAGCTCGCCAGGCTTCTCCGCGGGAGGGGAGCTTCCACCGGAGGACAGGAACTCGCCAATCGGGAGGATGGAGGGCCACAAGAAGAAGCTGGCCCTCGATTTATCCTCTGCTGCCTTCAAAGGAGCTGGCTTTGGCGCTTCTGTCTGAGCTTCCTTGGCAGCAGCATTTCTCTGGGCCTCACAAACACACGGTCACGAGCACAGCAGAACTGGGGACAAAATGCGAGACCTCCTCGCACTTGGCGTTGACACTCACGGCAACGTACTGCAAGAGGCTTTGAGCGCATGCATAGACCTCCACATACGTGGCAGAAAGGGCGTAACAAAAGCAAAGCAGCGCGCCCGCTCCTTCTCCCACTCCAGGGCGTCCTGCAGCGGAGGCTCCTTTCCGTCCGTGTCGAGGCCAGGTTTCGCTGCCTCCTCACCTGCACTGCCTCAGCTGCAACAGTTTGGGACGCACTCCTCTCCCCAAATCTCCCCAAACCCTAAACCCTCTCTGTACCTGCACTGAGCTGAAACCCTTCGTTTATCTTGGAAGTTCGCATGCGTCCCCACCCGTGGGGGATCTCAGGCACCGGCTTCGATCGAAAGCATCGAGGAAAGACAAACGCTCGTTTAGCTCCTGCCATGGACTCTGAGCTTGTCTTAATTGGAGGGGTGTGGGGTTTGCACACCTCTCCCTGCAGGTCTCCTCGAGGGAAAGTTCCTGCCGGAATCGCAGCAGACTCCGCTGCATCAGCGGCTGAAGCACCTCAGTCGGAAAGCTGACCCTGACTCCGTCAGACTCAGCAGCTCGCCCGAGCTAAACCGCGGCAACGGCGCTGTCCGCACTTCAGCTGATGGGAACGGCCTGCGTCAAATGACATAGGACCGATCCAAAGCATGTGGGTAGTTTTCTAAACTAGGTTCCCTTTTAGGGTGCTTTTTATGAGGGTGCCGTACTATATTGGACCCAAATTTAGAGAACTACCCAAACACTGGCTAACCCCTTGTAGAGCCCTCATTGACTTCAGGACGGGCCTCCAAGAAGGGTGTTTAGGGTTTAGGGTTTAGGGGTTTAGGGGTTTAGGGGTTTAGGGTTTAGGGTTTAGGGGTTTACGGTTTAGGGTTTAGGAACCAAGAATGAGTCCCCCCAGAGGAAACGTCGATCTCTGATTCATTTGGGGCTTCGCGGTTAAGGCTAAACAGCTGTAGGGTTTAGGGTTTACCAAAGGCTCAAGTTACAACACCTACCTCCTTGCCTTTCAGAAACTTCATGGCGCAAATATTAAGATCTGGTCGGTCATAGTCCTGATTGAGAGAGAGGGAGAGAGGGGTTATACTTCATGCGGGATACGACTTTGCGAACTGAAAAAGCCTACCATGCCGGGGAACCATCCAGCTCCATATCTGAACCCCCTATTCCGGCTCCGGGGTGTAAGCTTTATGTTGTTTGGCCTCGGCTCTGGGTTTACCCACAGGCCCCTGAGTAGTTCCTTTTTGGGATTACCATATAGGATCCTAAATATAAATATAATCTAAAAAAGGAACGACTTAGGGGTCTATGGGTAAAGCCCCCACAAAGAATCAGAAGCTCGATCTTCCCCCGCGGCCTCTGCACCGAAAAAGTTTGCAGGAAAGACGACGCCAGCAATCACCGACTCCTCAGCGCGACAACTCCCAGTATTCACGGGTTTGGAGTATCTATAAGGCATAGGGTGCACGTGGACCCCCCCCAACCATCCGCCATTCTTCACTAAATACCCACTAGGTCATGACGGGCCACAAGGTCACTGAGTTTGTGTGGGGCTTATCCTCCGACCAAATTTGCCTACAACGGCGCAGTATTGGGGCTTGCACGTGCGGATTTGGGCTTCAAAGGGTGCTTCCCGAAATCTAAAGGCGCTGCTACTAGCGAAGGGCACTCTGGCTGGAGCCAGGAACTGTGGCTTCATGGTCCAACATCCCCTCCAGAACCCTCATCAGACTACCTCATCAAAAAATGCAGAGTCCTGTGGAAGCACCCCACACCCCAAAACACCCAACACACCTGCAAGTAAACTCACCTGAGCCCCCCTTTCCACAACCTACAAACCCTGAACGCCTTGCAACAAGCCATGTTTCTGAGATCCACAGGTTGAGGGTTTAGGGCTTTAGCATTTAGGGCTTTGAGTCTTTTGTGCTATCTCCTTCATAGATGCAGCCACGAACCTGAAAGGCCACTTTCTCTCAGCTTCTAAGTTCAACGCCATAAACCCAAAAGCACCCAACGCCCTGAACCCCGAAATTCTGGCGAACCCTTAACCTACGGAACCCGGGTGCAAAAAAAGGGACTCGTGCAATGCAGCTATATGGGACGAAGGAGAGAAACAAGGGACCCTCCCAGCCCTTACCCCAAGCCCATTGAAGAACCTCACCAGAGAACCCACCCTAAACCGTAAAACCCAAACGCTGGAAACCTTCAACCCTTGAACCAAGCAAGGCCTTTCAGGAAAGCAAGACTTAGTTGCTGACTTCATAAGCACAACAAAGTGTACACTTTCAGTTCCATAAGGGATCATATTGTCCCAAAGAAAAGTTTAAAGTGTAGTAATTCAGCTACTAAGAAGACTAAACGACAACAACTAACCACAACAGACGCAACACAAAAATCATAAACCCGACCTGGACCCTGAAGAACCTACCCGCCAGGCCTCCGCCAATACAACTTCCTTATTTCTTGGTTCATAAGTAGCCTCTTTGTAATAAGGGTACCCTTTTTTCCTACTAATCCCTTCCCCCTATTATTAAAACGCCCCCCCC